TATATAATATTATTTGTACTTAATGAGGTTCCCAACTCCCAGTATAGTTTGCAGCATTATGTGTGAGATTTTTTTCCCTTAAAAAAATCAAATAATCGGCTATCGTTATCTTTTTTTTGTCCCGACATGCCATATAGACTTCACATTTTTTTTCCATGCACATATTTTTTCATGTTCATGTGTTCTACAATCACATATCACAATGATATAATCCAGCAGTCCATCCTTTATATAAACTTCCCAGGCTGAATTCGCTTCAATCCATAATTCATCTGCTATGACTTATTAATGTCTCTTTTCACAGAGAGAGACAGAGAGAAATCAACAAATCCTGAGGAGCTCAGAGCAGAGGATGGATAAAAGAACAGTTTTTGAAAACACATTGATTAGATTAACACCCTACATATAAAAGTATGTGAACACCCGAACACTGTGTCCACATGCTTGACATTTAATTTTAAAAACACTGGCATTCAATATGAAGTTCTCGCTTCCTTTGCTGCTACAGTTTCCACTCTTCTGGGAAGGCTTTCCACAATGTTGGAACACGGCAGCTGGGATTTGCTCCCATTCAGAAACCGTAAAGTCAGGCACTGATGCTGGGTGATGGGCCTTGGCTTGCAGTCTGCATTCCAATTAATCTCAAAGGTGTTCAATGAGGTCCAGGTCTGGGCTTTGTGAGGACTAGTCAAGCTTCTACTTCAGATTCAGTAAACCATTTCTGTATACTCGTCTCCACCATAGACTGTAGTAAAACGGCTAATAGACAGCAGACAAACAGCTAGTAGTGATAGCATCGGCAATCCACCTTTCACTCAAGTGGCCACGTCCTTAATTATACAGAACTTTAAGGCTTAATATAATTTAAACGGATTGTACCAGGGTGTTAACACATTTTTTTTACTGCTGTAAAGTTGGGCATTTTAACATGACTCTCTTTTGGAGCATGTTTCTAGCGGCCAGTCGATGAATTGCAGTTTAAGTCACTTCCATGTTGGATTCAATAGAGAGACCAGATGGTTGCTGCTTGGTCTCCACCTATTGGCTTATAGCGATGTAGTCAGAGAAGTCATCAGAGAAGTGACGTCAGTGCAAGGGGGAGGGGAGTTGTCTATTTTGATTTCATGGTGACTTTAAGCTAAATCCCCACCACTGATGTGTAAACAAGCTCAAACTAATTTGTTTGTTTACTCACAGCGCACATGGATGAAACAGGACACCAGCTAGAGACACAGGCACAAAAAAGGACAGAAAACGAATAAATGCTGGGACATGCTGCACATCTCTCGTTGTTTCTCTTTTCTCTCCCATCTCGTTGTTTCTCTGTTCTATATTTAGTTATGGGTCATAGTCAGACACTAATTAAAAATACAACAACGAGGATGGGCGTATGTAGGTGTTTCTTGATATGGAATCTCTTCCTTTTGACTCCGGCTTGAATCAATCCATCTAAAATGCAACATCTGCCCACAGTGACACTTCTTATTGACAAATACCCGATACCTTTTGCCTCTAAAACATCTCTATTTATAACATCTATAAACTAGAAAAATCTTTCCAATAATCCAGAGCTTAACAGACAGCACAACAGAAGATTTGCCTTAGCCTATGTCTTAACGAATCCATGGATTTAGATTATACGAAAACAGACTGAACCTTTTCCCCCCCTTTTTTTTTTTAGAAACATTAATGAAATTCTAAAATCTCAACTATATTTAAACTAAGTGTTGACGTTTCATACTGAAACGTAGTTGCTCCACGCTCTGCAATTGTGATAAATTATTGCCTAACATTTTGAGTATAGCCTACCTGCGCGCGATAAATATCAAATTAATATATTTTCCAATAGCCATTCTTTCGCAAAACACTTTCGTTTCCTGTTGGGTATATCAACACAATCCACCTCTGCACTTCCTTTGTCAGAAGAGCTAACCCAAGCTGGAAATATCGTGCATATGAAACAACTTTTAGTTAGAGAATTAGATCTTCTTTCTATCAAAACTATCGGAACTCGCAGGCCAGTCTGAACCCCGTGCTTTCCTGTTGAATGAGTCCGCACATTAAAAGCGTTTATGGGCTTATTCATTCCCTTTTTACCGCATAACTATCTGCGAACTTGTAGCTGCACGTAGCCTATTTCTAATGTGCTTCAGCTGTCAACCAAAATAACCCCACATCACAACGCGTGAAATGAGTTCTCTTACCTGGCGGGTTAATAGCTGATGTTATCGCTTGTTTCGGATGTAATTTGCACATTTAGTTGTAGACCGGATCTGTAAACTCTGGTTATAATCGCGTGATTCACTTTTGGGTGAAAAGGCGTGGAGTAGGCTATGACTACTGAAACAGAGGTAGCCTATTCAAAGTATTTTCCCCCCTTGATTTAGCCTATGCACGCACCAAAAAAAAAACTCCACTCTCACTTGAAATCGTGGACTTTCACTATAACGTTACATTGTAACTTTACTTAATAGGGACTAAGTTTTATGGGTTTACTTATGATTGTCCTTTTAAATAGCCTACAAAATCTGCACCTATTATTGTATGACAGAACAGTTCATAAATATGGGGGATGACTGTTCATTATCATACACATGACCAATAATCGATCTTCAAATCTACTAATCTTTTGGGGGGTGAAAGACAGTGTCTCCACCTAGTGGGTAGGCCTATTTTGCACAGATGAGCTCGAAGATTAATAGTTGACAAGGTCTATAGACTATATAGTTTTAATATTTTATTATAACTGTAACATTATAAATGTAAAAATGAAAAAAAAATCCAAATCCTTACACAATAAATTAGGTAGAAAGTGAGAAACTGGTAACATTAAGAATTGTGACCTCTCTGAATTTTTTTTATTTTCAAAATAGTCTTCACATGCATAATACATTCTTAGATGCAGCAGTCAATATGAAACACCATTAGATGGGTGACAGAGAGAGTATTGTCATCTTGAAAGTAAAGTGAAAGCAAATAAGTTATGATTAAAGTCATTATCCTTCATGAAACCAAATTACACAGGTTTCTCTTATATATGACCTACATTATGCCAACTTATATTTCATTGAATTAGTTCAGTCATAACTCCAGAGTGACAGATTTAAAACACTTTATTACACCGCTAATACACCGCTAGCCAACTGGGAGGAAAGGAAAATGAGATTTGGTTAGGCCACCTTTTCTAGGACCTTCTAAGTGCAGAGCAAGTAGTGCTTTCCCTAAGGAAAGCTGCTTGGTTGTTCAGTGTGCTGCTGACATTTCCTGGATCAACATGATACGACTCTTACACCTAAACCGCCTGAGAGGCCATTTGCATTGACCTCCTACCTAGAGAACCAGGCAGTGGCCAAGCGGCGATAACTAAACCAGGAAAGGAGAGCCGTATATTTCGCATACACTTCACCCTAAGGGTGAACATCCAGTCAAGACTACCCACCCCTCCCCCTATACGTATTTCTGATTAAATAAATGTAGCCTTGGTGAGCATTAAGATACTTTTTCCAAAAACATTAAAAACTAGGGATGCACAATATATCAGCCATATCGGTATCGGCCGATATATGATAATATTTAATGTTATCGTTATAGCCTCAATAAGAAAATTTGGCCAATATATTAAAGCCGATAAATAATAGATTTTTTCCTTCAGCTGAGACACTTCAGGTGAGCACTGTTCGTCATGATGGTTTTGAATTGGCTTTATGCACAGCTGCACTACTTCCTGAACTTTAGCCAGCTCCTTTGTTTCCTGTCTGCCATTATTGGACAAACTGATTAATCCAGGTGTGCCTGGCCTCAGTAACAATAATCAGGCACACCTGGATTAATCAGTTTGTCCAATAATGGCAGACAGGAAACAAAGGAGCTGGCTAAAGTTCAGAAAGTAGTGAAGCTGTGCATAAAGCCTAATAATCACTTCAAAAAATGAAAATAGAGTCTGTCATATAGGCTACATAAAATTATAATAAGAACCTTTATAATTGTGTATACTTGGGACATGGCTTTTAATGGCGAGACTTTTGTTTTTGGTAATCGGGTTCTCAAAATTTATATAAACATTTTAATTAAGTTTTATCGGCCAATATATCGGTTATCGGCTTTCAAATATAAAGAATTATCAGTTATTGTATCGGCCAAATTTTTCATATCAGTGCATCCCTATTAAAAACCCAAACTTTTGAATGGTATAGGGTTAACTGATATTTTGGTGTGACAGCAGACAGCTCAAAGGGTTTAAATGCAGCAGTGGTCCTCTCACTGGATGATGCTGATAAGGTGCTTGGTGCTGAGAGCTCTCCTAATCCCAGTGTGGGTCCTGATGAGAACCTTCCTCCTGCCCTGCCATGATAACCAAACGCTCCCTGTTCAAAAAAGAAAAAAGAAACGACAACCTTAAGGAAATAAAAATAAAACATGTGAAAAACTAATACTATGTAGATATTTTAATAATATGCAAGAGATGATTTAGGCTATTTGTTTCAGATTACACTTATATAATTCCTAATGTATAATATTATATTACCATACGTGTGTGTTGTATTGTTGTTAAGAAAAGTAGTGAAATATAAGTCACAAATACAGAAACCTCCCTTCTGTGTAGTAGTGTCTTTACATATATATGTGTAATATAAATATATATAAATACAATAATTAAACACAAAGAGAAACAACTAACTGAAAGGAAGCTACTTGGTGAGTTTGATTATCACCCATTGTTTTTATTTATTTTATAAGTGCATCATTTTAAGTATGGCCACGTTAAAATAACGATAATGCTACTCGAAATCAGGCATACAATTTTTTATTTTATTTTTTACATAACCCTTTGGCCAAATTTGATGTCAATAATACAGTTATTTAGCCCCACTGATGAAGAAGTGTGGGTGCATTAAACAAAACACTAATATAGCTCTAAATTAATGATTTGAATCCTTGTGAGACAAGCAAAAACATTACCTAAAATGTCTTTTCTTTCTGTTTCTAAATTACACAAAACAGGAAGACAAGCAGGAAGTGGTAAAACATTTCATCTATACAATCAAGAAAGTGTTAGTTGTGAAGGAGACATGCTGAAAATATCTGTAGGTTAAGTACGTAGGATTATTTTAAACTAAATGTGGGACTAGATAAGATAAAGGGTGAGATGTGAGAGTGTGTGAGATTTCCAATGTATGGTCAACAAGTTGAGAGGTTGGCGACCACATGGCGCAGTCATCACCGTCTTTTACCATGACCAGATCAGGTGCCTTCAAACTCAGCATCGTCTTCTTTCTCACCTTCATCTTGTGCCTACCAGAGTTTTTTCCAAGTAAGTAAAAATAGCAAAGTAAGATGTTTTGGGGTCCTCAAGCAAGCGTGAGTGAGGGAAATGTGGTGTGGGTATTTGTGAGCATGTGTGTGTCTCAGAGAAATGCGTGGTTGGAAAGAAAATGTTTGTATGATTGACAGCATGACTAAACTTCAGTATTGTCTATGTCTTTTAGAAATATATAATAAGGTGCATTGTTACAGTACATTACCTTCTGTATGTCTAAATTTCAGCATTATTAAACTTTAAAACAGGCTAAAACAGTTGCCTCTCTGTCGCAGGTTATTACACCATGTGATCTGGACATGGTGTGCTGTGTTACAGTTTGCGCGTGTATGTTGTGTGTGTGTGAGGGAAAACTTTGGTTTCTATCCAAACATAGCCTATACAGTACCAATACACATTTGGTTTTTATGGTTTTAGACACTGTCTCTGAGCACAAAACTGTTAGGTTGGTGGTTTGTTATAGGTTTCTAACTTTTAGACAGGAAGTGTCACTCTAACTTGCCAACAGAAACAGAAAACCATGTTGGTGTTTGAGAAAACAGGAAGAACAACTTCTTAAAACATTACAGTTTACATGATAAAAGTGTCAGATGGAGATTACAAAAATGAGCAACAATAGCTTACATTTTTGCTGTAACATAAAAACCGATTCTGTTAGTGTTTGTGGAGTTTAAGTAATGCTTTATTGTGAATACTGCTATGTGTGTGTGATTGGTATCATGGGTAATATAGTTTTTCACAAGGAATTCCACAGTTAAACATGATTATTAAACTGAGCTGAACGATGACATCACTGTTTTTCTGCAGAACTGCTTTATAGATTAAATGAATTTAATAATTGATGATCTTGTTTGATGCCCTTTTTTCTTTTAGAGAAATGAACTCTATTTGCATCTTTGAATCATTTGTTGAATCATCCTGAAACAATCTGTATTGTAAGCGTTATATAAATAATAAGTGGAATGCTACAATAGGGCTATAGCACCTTCCGCTTCATGCCGACTTCAAGATTTTATTTTTCAGACAACTTTATCCCTGGTTTAACAAGGCTTAAAGGTGCCCTAGAATTTGAAATTGAATTTATCTTGGCATAGTTGAATAACAAGAGTTCAGTACATGGACATGACATACAGTGAGTCTCAAACACCATTGTTTTCTCCTTCTTATTTAAATCTCGTTTTTGAAAAACACGACTGAAAAATATGTGGCGCAACAGTCGGATCATTAATATGTACGCCTCCAAAAATTTGCCAATGCCAGCCCATGTTCAATGCCAGGCAGAACTGCGCAGCCGAATCATCGGAAGTTCTGCAGGTGAAGAAACAAGTGAGGATCATAAGGAAAATGGCAGATCATGGAAACAAATGTTATGTTCCAAGGCTGTGCAGGGGATGTGAGGACTTTTCATACCCTTCCCACAGAAAAGAAATGTCAACAGGCGTGGTTGATGTTTATCTAATCGGATAACGTTACCGCAACAGTTTAATTCGAAGTTGTTAGTTTGCTCTGCCCATTTCACCACGGACTTATTTTCTAACCTGGGACTATATCAAGCAGGCTTCTCTCAGTGTCTCATCCTTAAGATTCAATTCCAACTATATTCCCCCAAGCGATAAGTAGTGATTTTATTAACGATAATTTACACTGTATTATCTAGATCCAGCGCAAGATCCTAGTACAGTAACAAATAGCAAACTCCAAGTAACGAGCATACATAACTAAATAGTATGACAAAGTATTTACGCTGAGGTTAATATTTCTTGCCTGTGTTGTCATATAAATATACAAAATAATACTGTAGATGCATATGTAAATTCCCTTTTGTCAAATAATTTTACTTTCGTCTATTTCATCAACAACACGTCAGGGGCTAACTACTTTAGTTTAGTTGCTCACAGATAATGTTAGCTCACTCGATCCTTCTAGCTAACGTCACATTCTCCACCACATAAGTTGAAGCTATATTTATTTGACAAGGCATCTAAGGTTAGTCCATTTGTTAAAATGTTTTAATTTTTGAAAACTGACGTATGAGGCCCATTGTTGTGCCATTCATCCACGACCATCACCTCATGTTACAGCATGATAATGCACGGCCCCATGTTGCAAGGATCTGTACACAATTCCTGGAAGCTGAAAACATCCCAGTTCTTGCATGGCCAGCATACTTTTCCATGTCACCCATTGAGCATGTTTGGGATGCTCTGGATCTGCGTATACGACAGAGGAGTCGACCAACATTCCACAGGCCACAGTCAACAACCTGATCAACTCTATGGGAAGGAGATGTGTTGTGCCTAATTTCTGCGTCCCAATTCGCATACTATCCGTCCTAAATAGTATTCGAAAATAGAATTAGTACGTCCCAAATCGTAGTATGTTGAAATGAGTGTTCCAAAGAGACCCGGATGGTCTACTATATCCGGTCAGAATCCGAAGTGCAGATCAATGCACACTCTAACGGCTGATATTGCCCACAACCTATCGCGCGTTGGACGAGGATTCGGTTAGAACTACAAACACGAGTGAAAAGTGTTAACAACTACAGACATGGAGGACGCGCGAGTCCGGCGGTTGTGTAGAGAGGTTTAGATAAAGGGGTTTGAGTGATTAATTATCAGTATCTAACCTGACGAAAATGTATTTATTCAGTGTTGTCTATATTATTATATTGCATCTGCAGCAGCATTGTGAACTTTTGTAAAGATACGTTTATAGCCATTAACTTTTAAATGCATCATTACATTCAAATTGCAAACACATGAGGAGAGTCTCCGCATGTAAGACCCACCCACGACTGGCAGATGAACGTGCGACAACATTTCTCTCTGAAATGGTAAAAAATTATATTAGATTGAATGGAGGATTTTAACTGTGACGAGATGATTGACAGGGCAGTTTATGGTGATAGGATGCGCGCGACAGAGATGACGAAGCAGTGAAGCTTGCCTACTCCTTTGCTACACACTCAAAAGTATGTACTTTTTCTTCACAAAAAGAGTAGATACTTTTAGGGCGTAGTATAAGTAGGCGAATTGGGACGCAGCCAATGTGTTGTGCCTAAGGCACACCTGTGCAATAATCATGCTGTCTAATCAGCATCTTGATATGCCACACCTGTGAGGTGGATGGATTATCTCGGCAAAGGAGAAGTGCTCACTAACACAGATTTAGACAGATTTGTGAACAATATTTGAGAGAAATAGGCCTTTTGTGTACATAGAAAAAGTCTTAGATCTTTGAGTTCAGCTCATGAAAAATGGGGGCAAAAACAAAAGTGTTGCGTTTATAATTTTGTTCAGTGTATATATTATAATTTGTAAGTGGTATGCAATGTTGTTTTAAAATGAGGAGGCAAAGTCCTCACTGTATATCAAATGTAAATTTAGGTCTGTTACACTAAAATTTCCTTGTTCTATTTATTAAAGCCAAGTATAAATTTCATCAAGTTAGTGGAATCAGTGAGTGAATTTCCAGAGTCAAATTCTAGAGTCTGTTCCAGTGAGAGAAATTCCCAAGCCTGTTCCAGTAAGTGAAATTCCAGAGCCTGCTCCAGAGGAAGCAGTTCCAGAGCCATCTCTTCCTGTCAGTTCTGGTGTCATCGAAGAAGTAGTCCTTTCCTGGGCCACACACACATCTACATCGGCCCCTGAGCACAGTCCAGTGTCTGCTCCAGCCCCTGAGTACACTCCAGCATGGGGTTTAGCCCCTGAGTCCGCAAAGCTGACCATGAAAACTGAAAAAGACCACTCATGGCTATCTTGTGTGTGTGGTTGGCACAAACCCCCAAAGCACCTCCTAAGAATGTTTTTTGGGGGGTGGGATGTCCCAGAGCCGTCCGCTCTCCCAGACACGGCCACTGAGGGCGTCTCTGAGACACCTGCTCACACGGCCATGGAGGCCGTCCCTGCACTGCCGGTACCACCCTGGCTCCTTGAACTGCCGGCATCTCCCTAGCTTACTGTATTGCCAGTACCACCCAGGAGGTTTCCTGTCCCGCCACTCCCTTCTCCAGCCCTTCATCAGCCTCCCTCCCCTGTTGGACTTTTTACAGTGCAAGGATACGTTGTCCGGTAGGGGGATGTAATGTCACGTGTAGAGCATGTTCTGTTTTGATTCAGTTTTCATTGTGTTCTGTTTCTGTGTGCTGTTAGTTGGTTAATATATATATATTTATTTATTTTATTATATATATATATATATATATATATATATATTATATATATATACATTTGCGATTTTTATATCAACATTTGTAATGTGTAGTTTTATATTTCTCCTTTTGTTTTTAATTTGATTGGGCTGTTCGCAATGCTTCATATTGTAGTTATTTCCCTCTCTAAAGCCGTTAAGGTCACAGTCTGAGTACCTGTGTCTTTTTATCCGATTTTCCGAATCAAAGTTTGTAATGTTGTTGTGATTCACCTTGTAGCTGCTTGGCTTGGTTCATAATGTTTTAACAAAGACTCTTTTTAAATCCCTATGGGAAAATGAATGGAAAAAATACTTCCGGCAACAGATACTGAAAAAAGGGCACAGTTGCACTCTATTGCTATGATCTCATGTGAGTGACAGGTTGTCCCGCTCTCCCACCAGGAAACACATCATCAGAGAAGAGATGTTGCTGCAAGAGGGAGGGGAAGGGCATAAATATTAAAAAATTATGTGCACAGATAAATTATTTATAATAAATACTGCAATATTCCATATAAAATAATAATTTTGATTTCATGGTGACTAAGTAAATAACAAATCTTAATATGCTATAAAACCAACATGAATACAAAGAAAACATTTGTATGAACAATTGGCACATGGGTTTAAACTTAAAGGATTTTCTTTTTCACTAAATGTGGGTATTGCACATGACTTAAAATCTGAAGTAAGAGCGTTTTCTTCTTTTTTTTCCCCTTTTTGTTTGGGTTCTTAGAAGTATCACAAATTCAGTTTTGCTGTGAGCCTTTTGACCCTTGCAGACCTGAAAATGATGCAAAGTTTTGTGGTCAGGCTGACCCTCCATGTGCGACAGAACTTATAAATGCCAGCAGTCAACAGAGACGCGATGAAGGATGGTATCTGTGTAAGGCTGAATTTGATCTGCGGCTTCTCCACAACAATACCTCACAATCAGGTGGGATAGTTGTTTTATTATTATTTTATTTGTAAAATTTACTGCTGCTTGTTGTTTATTGTCTACAATAATAACCAATAACAAGTGTGTGCATGTGCATTTCATAGTAGAGGATGTGATGGTGCTTCTGACAATGAAGGCAGGCAATCTCACTGGATGGAACATTAGCGTATTTGCGTTTCTCAACAACACTGAACTATACACTGGACCCCAAAATGACCAGAGACTATTCTACTGCTACCTCCCACCAGACAACAGCCAATGTCCAGATCTGAAGATGTCCACAGAAGAACCCACACAACAAAACACCAGTCATCCAAGACAAAACACCTCCATTTTAAAAACCACTTCTTCTGCCAAACCAATCATCTCTTCTCTTAAAACAACTACATCTTCGCAAGTAACAGCTTCTACACATGAGCTTAAGTGCCAAACAACTAGCAGCAGTTTCCTCTTTTACTACCAGGAGCACAATGAAACAGCCAGATCTGCTGCGTTACCAGTTACACAAACAAAAAAAGGTGAGAAACCGTCAGAAAACTATGTTGTCTTTCACAATGCCATGCTATGCACAAGACATAATAAAGCAGATTTTAACATTATAAGAGGCCAATATAATTAAAGTCCTCCTGTGGTCAATAATTATATCCCTTAAAACTCTTTGATCACCATATTTAAATGTTTTTTTTTTTCCTTGATAAATAATTCTTCATGTCTTAAAGGGGTCATCGGATGCCCATTTTCCACAAGTTGGTATGATTCTTTAGGGTCTTCATGTAAAGTTTGTAACATACTTTGGTTAAAATTCCTCAATGATTGTGTAAAACAACACCCTTTTACCTCCTCAAAAACAGCTCTGTTCACAGCGACCTGTTTAGGTGCACATCTCTTTAAATGATAATGAGCAAAGTTCACCCCACCTTTCTCTTCCATGAGGCGTGTCGACACAAGACACATAAAGTGCTGCCATGGTGGACAGTAAACAAATGGCTGATGGCGGAAATATGCTAATACGGGACAGTCCGTCAGTGGTCGTGGGCGGAGCAGGAGCAATATGACATCATATTGCTCAGAAAATCCAAACGGCTTGATTATTGAGAGTGTTTAGGCTTTTTGAGCATTAAAAAAAAAAAGGAGTGAATGGATTTTTTTCAGTGTATGGTGGTCGTGTCCACACACTGCAAAGATACATTTATATGCATACACCATGTAAAAGTGAATTTTGCATCCGATGACACTTTTTAAATACCTTGAATGTAACTCTACACCCTTGCCTCATTTAGTATACGCGGTTGGCGGTTCTATGAATATGCCCCTATGAATTTGCTCCGCCTCCACTCACTCACACCAGTTCAGAGATCCACTTGTTAATGATCATAAGTTGACATGATTGGTTACAAGGTAGTTTGTGAAACAAACCAGCAATTCCAAACAGTGTTTTTGAGACTGTCTTTGGTTCACTGCAGTTTTAGAGAGAAAATACTCAGCAATGGTGTTGACTTATGAATTTGGACATGGTTTGTCTTAAAGCATATTAAAAACACCATTGGTCGGCACCGATAGCCTCGTGGGCAAGTGCGCCGACATTTAGCGCAGTTGTGCTTCGGGCGACCCGAGTTCGAGTCATGACTCGTGGTCCTTTCCTGATCCCTTTTCCCCTCTCTCTCCCACCTCACTTCCTGTCTAGCTACTGTCCTATCCTAATAAAATGGAAAACGCCAAAAAAACAACAACAACAAAAAAACACCACACAGACATATAAACAGCATTAAACGCATGTTTTTCACCACATGGGGGGACTTTAGAACTACATTTCGTGACACAACAACAGTATTCTTTTTTTAAAACTATATGGAGGATTTGCTTGACCGCTATGACAGTCGCCGCAAGCGGAGTGATACAAACGGTGAAACGGTTAGAGTGCTGTTACTGGGTGAATATCGCACGGCTGAAAAAGGCTCTCAACCAATCAGATTCGAGAACCAGAAAGAACTGTTATATATATTATATATATGTGTGTATATATGTGTGTGTGTGTGTATAAAGCATATTTATAAAAATGCTTTTGCTTTAACTTTTCTTGGAAAAAAAAGACTTCTGAGCAAAAAGAGAAAATAGTTCCTATACCAAACTTTTTTGGAAATTTATTTTTTGTATTTTTTATTTGTATTTAAAAAAAATAAAATACAAATAATTCAGCATATATATTTCTTTCAGCCATGCTGATTACATCATATCAAATATGTTTTTACAAATGCACAGTGAATCGTTCTCACCCAAGCATCTCTACCTCTCTCATAAATTCCCTCTGAAGGAGAGCTGAGACTCTTTTATCCTGTCTATTGATTCGGGTATGGAAGGAGACAGCAGGACTTCATAATTCAACCTAACTTTTGATAAATATATTATAGCAATACATCAAGCCAGTCTATTCAGTGTTTGACTCATCCAAAACCACAAATCCTTTCAGACAGCACATTGCCAGACTCACACAAGGTCATTTGGGTTAATGTAAGTGTAAAATAATTCGTCACATTTACATAGCGCTTTTCTGGGTACTCAAAGCGCTTTACATAAAATGAACTTGGTAAGACTTTTAAAGCTTCTGATGTTTAAGCATTGATATATTATATTCAGTTTTGTTTTTCATGTTTCATTCATGTATTATCACTGTACTATTGTTAAAGTTTCTTGTTGCTATATACTTCATTTCCTTGTTCCTAGAGGGCTGGGGTGTGATCACTTCGGTGTGGTTGGCTCTGGTACTGACTGTGGTTGTGGTAACTCTATTGAGTGTGGGCTGCCTGATCTTCAAGAGCAAACATAGTGAGTATCACTTCTACAAATCAATCAACAGCCCTTTGACACTGAGGTGTTTTCAGTTTGGGATCCATAATGATCATGTAATTGACAATATGGACATCACATTGGATTAATCTATTTGGATCAATCTTGTTTTTGGTCTTTTCACTTTAGGAAAGTCCCAGTTGTTCACAATTGTGCCGATTTCAGCCAGCGGACATCAGCTCAGCAAGCCAACAGAAAATTGTGAGTGACACTAACAAGTTTATATAGTCGCAAAGCTTTTCTATGATTGTGCTAATAGCACTTTTCAGGGTAACATGAAACAAAAACTCGAACAGAACAACCACAATAGCGAGTGATCAGACTAGGGCTGCATCCGAAAACGTAGGCAGCTGACTTGTTGCCTCGCTGCCCTATCAGGCAATGATTTTGCAGGCAGCATTTACGCATAAGGTTCCTCACAAAACTGATTTCGGACAGACTTCTGAGGCAGTGTTACGGTTTAATGATCTACACTGTCAGAAAAAAAGGTACTGTGCAGGTACAATTTTGTTCTTAGGGGTACAAAATATATAACTGTACCTTTAAAGGTCCACAATAGGTCCCTAGGGTACAATTATGTACCCAAAATAGCTTATTAAGGTACAATATTTTAGGTTTAGATGTGAAAGGTCCATTTTTGTACCTTTTGAAACTAGTTTTTTTTTACACCACCATTTTAAGTTGTTTTTTAAATGTTAATAATATATTTTGTAGGCCGCCTTGTGCATCACCATTAATTGTCTGTTTCCAAACCTATTAATGAACTTATATGAATTATTTTTAATAATTGTTAATGTTTGTTGTAATGTAGGCCTGGTATTATTTTTTTTTGTTATTTTTTTTTTAAATCAAATTAATTAACTTTTGAATGTTGCATCAAAAACAGAGTGACTGATGCTGAATTAAATTAGGAATACAGACAATGATGAACGTAAAAAAAATATATATTCAAGTAATTATTCAAAACATACTTATAGCTTATGCAGACGTTACTGTTGTTGTCGCTTTAAGAAAATTTCCTGCTTGGCGTAAGTCGTTCGGAATCGGAATCGGTTCTCTGACTGAACAGTTCTCAGACAGAACTTCTCACGATTTCCAACGGCTAGCATATTTTGGAGGACACATTTTTCAGGTAAATGCGGGATAATGTTATAATATATTCATATTTTTTTCACGTATGTTGGCATGTTCTGTTGATTTTGTCTAATTTGATGTTCTTTTGCTTTAAGCCCGCGAGTGGCTGGTGTACGTTACTTGAGCCTTCAAAATGGAGTTTGAGGAAAATGTCAAACGTTCAATTAATAAAAGAGCTAACGTTAATGCAGTTTGGTATCGAAATCACTGAAGAGGAGAGGGGGAAAACTGAGGGTGAGTATCTATCGCATGTTGGGATGTTTTAAGAAAATCGAGGTTTCTCGAGGATTATAATTAATAACGTTACTCTGTGTGACAACGCCATTTTCCATGATTAAACTTTCATGATTTAGCCTCTCATACCTTATTTCTTTAATAAACACTGTGGCTAACACTATATCTGTGCAGGGCTAGCCATTGTAATTAGTGTTTTATCTCAGTTTTTACATTTTGAGACTAAAGATGTCCTGCCGTTTGGATTGCAAGATTTTGTTAGGCCGCACAATAAGCAACGCACCGACCCAGATTATACACGTCTCGGCCTTCAAACGGGGCAGCCCTAGTAATAATTTGTCTTTTCACTAGTAATAACTTGTACTTTATAGTATTAGTTGTCTTTATGTATCCCTGTAACATTGCCTAATTATTACTTTCTCTTTTTTCTTTTTTTCTTTTTTTTTACCATAGAAGCCCATCAGCAGCTTTTTCTGCAGTTTTTGAAGTTCCTAAGTTTCTTTTTGATGTTCAGGCTAAGTTGGACCAGAAACGAAGGAAACCTTCAGCATCAGATAGGATCAAAATAATAACATTGTATGAAAGCATGGCTCAGTACAGTATGTAAGTATTCCTCATTTACTGCGCCAAAGTATTAATGGGTTACATTTTAATTACATTTTTTTTTAAACAAAAGTGTTTAAAATATTTTGCAGATATTCAACTTCTAAGGTGTATGTTTAAGTGGCTATATGGCCCTGACTCCGAGGTACCCCATTTTAAAGGACTAAGAAGGCAATGGATATGTAAGTAGACGATTCAATCTTAATATTACTACTATTGTTTCTATAATAATTTTGTGTAAAAAAAAAAAAATATATATATCATGTCAATATCTTTTGTTTCAGGAATAGATTTTAAAGCACCCCTTCTCATGTTGCCAGCCTTGTTCAGAGAGAAGCTTGAACACTTCGTTGTGCTTGGGTAGGTGCGCAAAATGTTTCTCTGTCTTTTACTTGAATGTCTATCATAAATGCTTATTATAATTCTTGAAATATATTTACAGCCCACATACAAATGGGGTGAATAAAATGCATAGATTATTTCTCTACATCAGTTAACATGTATGATCATAAAATTTGATTGAGATTAAATCTATTTTGTGCTTTTGTCTTTTACAGTAAACCATCCTCATCATATCCAACTGTTCAAGTACAGGAAGCCACTGACTGGAAAAATGTGCTTACAAGAAAAGTCACTGTAGTCATCAAGAGTAGATGGGATAGAGATCTGCTGGGCTAGCTGTGTGGATTGAGGGGCTCTTTCTGCATTTTGAACCTATTTCGTATTCAATTTGACACTTGAACACCCTGATGTTTCTTCAGCGGTATGTTTTGAAACTTTCTGTGGATGGTGACAAGCCTCTTCCTACCCTGGTTACCAGAGTGATCAACCTCTTACAGTAACATCTGCACAAATCCATCGCCTGTTCTGTTGTCCTAAATGCTCTCGGAGAACATTCACGATTGTCAAATAAATCCAGCATATTGGTCTCATTAAAGGGATAGTTCACCCAAAAATGAAAATTCTGTCAGTAATTACTCTCCCTCATGTTATTCAACCCCGTAAGACTTTCGTTCATCTTCAGAACACAAATGAAGATATTTGTGATTAAATCTGAGAGCTGGATCACTCCTCCATAGGCTTCTTAAGGGATCGAAACTTGTTCCCCGAAAAGTTATTATAGACATCGTTAAAATAGTCCAAGTGACTACAGTGGCTCATTCTTAAGTTTATCAAGCGACGAGAATATTTTTAGTGCCCAAAAAACAAACAAAAATAACGACTTTATTTCAACTATTCATTTCCTTCTCTGTGGGCCTCGAGTGAGTTCACTAGTGTAATAGCGTAAGTGTTTCTGTGTTGTACGTCACACGCATCACACACATGACCAGCGCCGGCCAATACTGAGCCTACGTGTGACGTACAACACAGAAACACTACGCACACTATGTGAACTGACTCGAGGCCCACAAAAAATATTCTCGTCGCTTGATAAACTTAAGATTGAGCCACTGTAGTCACTTGGACTATTTTAACGATGTCTTTAATAACTTTTCTGGGCCTGCAAGTTTCAATCCCTTAGAAGCCTATGGAGGAGTGATCCAGCTCTCAGATTTAATCACAAATATCTTAATTCGTGTTCCGAAGATGAACGAAAGTCTTACGGGGTTGAACAACATGAGGGAGAGTCATTACTGACAGAGTTTTCATTTTTGGGTGAACTATCCCTTTAATGCACATCAGGTACATTTTTCAATAACTAACTTCGGCTCTACTGCATTCAAGAAGTACAGCCATGTCAATTTTGAAGACAAACAGCTTCAGCGAGTTATAAGTAGAGATTAATGATGTTAAAAAATGATGCCTACAATGTTGATATAAAATTATTAGCACAAGGTATTCTTGCTGAAGAACAACTGCCCAATGCTGTAAACCTCAATGTGCAGTACATTATCCTGTATAATTAGCTGTATATCAATATATAACTCTTCTTATATTTGATTTGTAAGTATTTGACAGTATAGACAATTCATGTACTCCTGTTCCCTTTTTTTGAAGGTGTTACAGTTTTAAATGATTGCTTTATACTTCTGATTATATTTGTTGAGTAATGTCTGATGAATTTTATGTGTGATGAACAATTAATTGTCTTGACTCGCAACCTGTAAGTAATTCTCTTTGTAAAAGAAGGTTAATAAATAAAATTGAATCTGGAAAATATGCGTATCAAAGCCAGTTTCTTAAAAATATTTTTTTGCGCACCATACGATTAAAACTGTATTGTCATTAGGGCATATCCTTTTAATAAGGTACAATTTTGTGCTTTCATTACAGTATGCACAATTGTACCTTGGGGTACAACATTGCCCCTAAAATGGTACAAAGCTATAAGGTACAATTTTGTACCTCTCATTAAAGGTACAAAAAGGTACCCCTCAGGGTACCACCCCAGTGACAGCCACTTGTACCCTAAAAGGTACCGTTTTGTACTTTTTTTTCTGACAGTGTACAGCAAAATATAGAGAGCTTTGGTGAAAACTAAGTGAATAATTTAATGACTGCAATAGTGATTTTTCGCTAGAAATGACATAAGTGGAGAATATTGATAAAAAATGTACATTTGCATACAAACTGATGACCAGCCGCAACTTACAGACGCCATCTAGTTCAACTGTCACAGAATGGAAAGCACAGGATTGTGGGATATCAAAGGCAGTAGGGGTGTAACGGTTCACAAAATTCACGGTTCGGTTCGATACGATACAGTGGTGTCACGGTTCGGTACATTTTCGATACAGCAAAAAGAAAGAAATGGCAGAGAAATTTCCTATTTATTAAAAGAAAAGCCTCGTACCGAAACGGTTCAATACGAATACATGTACCGTTACACCCCTAAAAGGCAGCAAAGGATACATCTACGCTGCCTTCAAAAATCGATCAGATGAAGGTATCTCAGGAGACAGGAAGTGAAACTAACATTGCATTCGGACGTGTCTTGATACCTTCCTACCTTGGAATGCATCCTCCAAAGTATCAGTTTTCGCAGACAAAGACTGAACCCAAAACAGAGATATATATACACTGCGACTAAACAAGATAACTAACAAGACACATGTGGGGAAATCAAAAACCATGGCAACAAAATAGCATGAACAAAGGAAACAGAACCGAGAACCGAAAACTAACTGAAATCGGAAAACTTTGTATGTGTTTTGGCCATTTATTTACATGACAATGGTGTTTTGGGGGCCTGAAAAAGCAAGCTTTTGAAAATGGGTTTCAAAGTTCAGGGTTTTGAAAACGATGCCTTTACCGTCTCCACCCACGTAAACAACAAAAACGTATTACATGTTCACGCATGCATTATGTGCGCGCTGTGTTGACAAGTCCTTTCTTGACAAAGTGACATTGCCAACTAACTGTCCTGGCATTCGTAATACAGCCTTTTTTGTCATTTTCGCAGATCCATGTGAATGGGGATCATTTTGACAACGTTGTCTTCTGATTTTAGTACTTTGTTGTCATACATCATACTCTTACTCAAAGTCCAACTTAAGCAAAACACAAACACAGATCAGATGTGGCAGGTAATTAATTTTCTAATTTTTGCTTTCAGTGATGAGCAATGTCCCTGATGTGTCCATAGGAATGTACAGCATGAGTGGTAAGCAAGTGTTTGTCTTGTGATTGTTTGGCAAATGTGTCTTTGTTAAATTTGTGTAAATAAACCATGGCAGTACCATGGTACAGGAATGGTATCAGTGGTATTTGAAATATACTATGATATTCATTAACATTTTATATTTACATGCTCCTCTTAAGAATACCATGATATTACCATTGGCATAGGCCAAATTAAAATAGGGTAATACCATAGTAAAAAAAAGTAGGCCAATGCATACTTTTTCTTGTAAAATAATTATTTGTTAGTATTATTTTTATTTTTAGTAACAAAGAAATTGTTAAATAAGTGTTAAAGGTCTTAGTATATTTACAAGGCACTATGTAGAGATTGCTAATAGACTTGTGTGTCCTATTTTTATATAGTTTTATATAATTTACATTTACATTAAAAGTCCCCCTGTAGTGAAAATCAAGTTTTTAATGTTTATATGTCCATGTGGTGTTTTTAATATGCTTTAAAGTCCCCCTGTGGTAAAAATCAAGCTTTTAATGTTGTTTATATGTGGTGTTTTTAATGTGCTTAAGACAAAGCATGTGCAAATTCACAAGTCAACACCATTGCTGAGTATTTTCTCTTTAAAACTGCAGTGAAAAAAAGTCACAAACTACCTTACCTAACCAATCACGTCAACGTGTGATCGTCAACGAGTGGATCTCTGAGCTGGTGTGAGTGAGTGGGGGTGGGGATAATTTGCATATTCATAGAACCGCGTAGGGTGTAGAGTTATATTCAAGCTATTTGGAGCTATAAGGAAAAAACGTTTAAATGTGTCATTTTGGTGATCAAAGGTAAGTTTTAAGGGATATAATTATCAGTGTTGGGCAAGCTACTTGAGAAATGTAGTGAGCTAAGCTAGCAGTTATTCTAGCTTCCACCCTTGGAAATGTAGCAAGCTAAGCTACAGCAATATGGCAAAAGTAGTTTACTACATCCAAGTTATTTATTTAAATTTCATTTTTATATTGAATTAAACCCACTTCATTCCAAGTCAATGTTATCTCAGTGATCAATAAAACTGTCTGTCAAACAGATAGGCAGGCATAATTTGTCAGTTCAATTGTTTATTGAACAACTGTTACAAACCAATTTGGCAACAAAGAAAACAAAACCATAACTATAACTTTATAAAACTTTAACAAAACCAGGTGTTGAGAGTATTTCTATTAAGTACATTTCTCACGTGTCAGCCCAAGGATTGAGATTGGTACATGAAGTCACCGTGGAGCAGAAGGTGGTGATAATGCACCAAAAAGCTAGCCTGGGTTTCCCCATGCTGCCTTTGCGCAGCGCGATTTTATTCACGCTGCTAGGCAGTCTGGATCACTCTATGGCTCTGGTCTGGATACCATGGACCAGATTTTCGCCTCAGTGAGGGGACCAATCACAGAACGGGGAGGGAGCAGCAAGACGATGAAGACGTCTATGCGACACACCGAAGCAGTTTTTTTATATGGATCAAACATGGCAGCAGACGCGAAGTTACCTTTCGATGCAGCCTTAGATACATACGCCATCGTGTACACATAAATCTCTGACCCATCGTCTTCTTCCTCGTCTAATTTCTGTCTCTCTACATACGTCATCTGGTATAATTGAAACGATTGGCTATGAGCTACGTACAGGTGCATTTGATAGACATTCGTAGCACCCAATAAACGGCTCTGGGCATTCGTAAACCACGCCTCAAATACGAGAAAATGAACATGTGGTTCCCAGACCACGTCTCAATGTCAATGAGACGTGGTCTGACGTTAGCCAGGCTACCAAAAACCTGGTTGTAGGGCCCTATGAATTTTTTTTTCCCACATTCCAAATTCAGTTGTTTTTTTGTTTTAATTTTTCTGTAGGCTATTCTGTTTTGTTTTGTTGTTTTTGTTGTTTTTTTGGAATCCCATTTTAATGGTTAAATTACATTTTAGTAATCAAAAAGCATGTCTAATTAATTGAAACCATGAAACTTATACAATTTAACAATAATATACAAATTTTAAAATAAATACAATTTTTAGGGCACTATATGAAACATGTTTTTTTTTTTGTATTCCATTTTAATTGTTTAATTAAATTGTAATAACCAATTATTTAAAATGTAATGATTAAGGCAGCAAAACTTTCTTCAAAGGTTAAACCAACCTTTTATTTTGGCATTTATTGTTGCCATGTAGACCTTTCTCTAGTGTTTTTATGATATGACGATAGTTTTTCTCAAATCAAGCTAAAATGCTGCTGAAGTGACTCTCAGAGCGGCTGTGTAGATGAAGTTCATGCATTAATGTCCTCATTGAGGCTGAAAACATTTCGAGCGTGCCTCAGTGTGTGTGAGTGTACACAGAGACGCGCAGAACATGTATGATTCCTATTTAAATAGTCTTTAAATAGGTTTAATATTCACAGACACTTTCTGTGCTGCTGAGTGCTGCAGTGTCAATGAAAGCAGCGCATGGTGTCTAATGTAAAGGAGTAGCCCGAAAGGTTTGGCCTAAATAAATAAAGGTCCTTTAATAAGCCCATGCAGAGCGGCTGGGATTTACAGCTTTGCATCGTTCAAGCATCAGGCCGGAGATTTGCGATCAGATGCTGACGTCGCGGCGACATATTGCCGATTAGCAAACGCTCTCTGAGCGACATCGTGCTGATGGAACATTGTACATCGGGCCGACATCGGCCAGACGTACTTGTGCTATCTGGCGATATAGACTAGTCTATATCGCGATTTTATTTTAGTTTACTGACCTACTTTCATCCAAGATCTGACAAATTCCACGGTATAAATTCCGTTTTTATGCCTGGATTCCGCGATTCCGTCCGTGTTTTCCGCATCGCAGGAATGAAATCATATGGCCCTATGGTTGCCAACCGCCGTGAAACACGAACAAGAAGTATCCGTCACTACTGATCCAGCATCAGTGATACTAATCAGTATTTCCGTTTTGAGCTTGAGCTTTAGAAATGCTTTGGAAAATGTAGTGTGTGGATCGCACTACTTGTCAAAAAAAGAGCTTCGCTATTGAAAAGCTATTTGATTCAGAAAATAGAAGCAATCAAACCAACAACAGGGCAACAATATGCAAGTGCCGTGATCAGTCCGTTAGTCCAGCAGTACACGCAGCAAGGTTGTTGCTTTTTTATATAATTTATACTTGTTTTACAGTTAGTTATTAAAGGTTGATGTATTTCTGTTTCTCTCATATAGACGATGATGTATTCTTTGAGATCTCTTCAACTGAGAACAGAACAGAAGGTAAACAAACATCCTGTTCTATCATACTGCACTCTTTTTACCCAGAAGAGATTTGTGCTTTATCAAAATGCTGTAAAGGAACCTTGTATGTTTTTTACCAGCACTGACTAGCTCCAAACCAACCTAACTCTCAATACTTTCACAGAAAACCTGCTCAGGTTAGCTGACCTTATGTACAAGAAAAGTAAGTTTTTGTTTGGATATTTCTTTTTGCAGAGAGAGGCATAAGTTGTGTCCCAAATGACGCACTATATGCACTCACATGTACTCAGCCATGTAGAGTATGAATTTTATACAGTTATGTCACTCAACATCTGTGTCTGATAGTCCCTCCCCCTCACTATGTAAATAAAGTTGTGACAGTTGAGTGCATGAAGTGTCCAGGATTCCACACTTTGTTTTTCGGTTAATTAAGGGCATAATCTGGGAATTTAAAGTGCACTTTTTCAGTGTGAACACACTAATTATACTGTTTAAACCACAAAATGGCACAGAATAGTGGATAAGTATGCAAATTAGGACGCACCTATAGGGTACAGTAATTACAACAGAATGTCCTTGGAGCAATTTAAGGGACACTAATGAGGAAAATTCTGTCATCAACTCCCCTCGAGTTGTTACAAACCCATATGACTGAGAGAACATATTCTTCTATGGAACATCAATTTTGAGAATGTTCACGTTGCTCATTACCATATAGTGGATGGGGACCAGAAAACGCCAAGTTCCAAAAAGGACATAAAAGCACCATATGTGACTCTTCCAAATCTTCTGAAGCCATATGATAGCTTGTATTACATTTTGTGAGCCGTGGTCACCATCTACTTTTATTGCATTCTTCTATATATAACTCCTTTTGTTCCTGGGAAGAATGAAAGTCATTTAAAATTTTTGGATGGGTTATTCCTTAAAACCTGCAGCAGTATGCTACTGTAAAGCTTACATCAATCAGTGTGTGTGTGTGTGTGTGTGTGGACGGCAACCACATCCGATATATATATGAGGAGGTTGTATACTGTATTGAGGAACTGGTCTCCTGTACAGTGTATTCCTATTAATGGTAGGCTATGTGTGTTTAACTTTTTATAATGGTCTCTCATGTTTTAGGATTGTCACCAATCTTTGAGATTACAGGTATGAATGAGACATTTAACACATTTACATATTCTTTCAAGAAACACATTGAATAGCATTAAATACACATTGACCTATAGAATACGCATATCACATAAATAGCATAACTGAAACAACTGCTTGATTCTCTATGTCACAAAATGTAAACTTTATTATCACCCAGCAATATATTTAAAATTGGATAGTACATCCAACCTTATCCGCATACATATAGTCAGACAAAGCAATATGTATTGTATAGCAAATCTCAATGCTTGATTGTTTGCAAAATATAAAATATATTACTGCCCAGCTCGGCTAAATGCAACTATAAGTCATGATGACAATAAAGGGGTCGTATTATGCTTGTCATATACACAACTGCCATTTTACTGGGGGTGGACTCACACACTTTATTTCCGGTTCAGCACCACAGGTCAAGTATACATGACAACGGTATTGTTTAGATCAACACGTGACATCTCCCCTTTTAACACAAACCTTCAACTTATAAAGTTTTCAACATATCCCACCGCAAGTCTTATTTGTCGTCATTACTAAACTGGATATGCTTAACCGCAATTGCACTCTAGCTGTACTTACAGTGGTAACGTATAGTGCATATTAATCATCACCCTGTTTAATAAACATAATGAACCAGAATATCTCTTAGCAAAATCCTAATTGCGTGAAGACAATGTCTTTTAAATCAACAGGTGGGTATAACTGTAGCTTAACTGGCCTAAATTCACTAACTTAAATATTAATTGCAGAGCTAAAACTTGAACATATAGCTACCAACGCATGTACAATATTTAAGCTTTACTTGTACATAACATAGTCATCAAATCTCTTTGGCAAACATCTTGCTCTGACTGGGCGCTCACAGACTGACACTGGCAGCTGTGAGGATACCTTGGGGAACCCACTATTTGTAGGGGACACTCGTGTCTCCATCTGCTCTGTAGGTGTACAGTCTGGGTCTGCAATGTCCGGTATCACTTGAAGCGCTGATTTGTCAGGATCAGCAGACAGGTGAATTCTGTTGCGTCGGTAGGTGGTTCCATTTTCTGTCATGACCGTGTATGATCGAGGGGTGGTATGAGGTTGTACCACAACTGCACGGTTCCACACCCGGCCTTGTCTGATGCGGCAGCTTTCACCAGGTTGCAGTGAAGGCAGTTCTCTCTTTCCCCGGTTATAGTAGTGTGCCATCTTTCGTTGTCTCGCCACCGACTCATCTCTACCTTGCACAGTGGCTTGAGGCATCAGTTTACGAGAGGTTACAGGCAAGATCGACTTGAGACGGCGACCCATAAGCAATTGTGCTGTAGTGACTTGGAGTCCGCTAATAGGACTGTCTCGGAGATCAAGCAGGCACTTGTAGATGTCCTTGCCATCCTCTGCTGCTTTTCTCATTAGCTGTTTTATTGTTTGCACAAACCTCTCACTCTGTCCATTAGACTGAGGATATGTAGGACTAGACGTCACCAGGTTAAAGTTCCAATCTGTGGCAAACTGGCGAAAAACCTGACTGGCATATGGCATATTGTCACTCACCAGCATGTCCGGCACTCCATGCCTGGCAAAAAGAGACTTCAGCTTGTTGATGATCTCTTGTGCTGTCTTGGTTCTCAGACTCACCACTTCAGGGTACTTAGAGAAATAATCAACGACGAGTAAGTGATCTGTTCCATTATAAGTAAATATGTCAGAACCCAGCTTAGCCCATGGACGGTCTGGCACTTCATGTGGCAACATTGGCTCCCGGGTGTTGCTTCTGTGAAATTTTGCACACACACTGCAACGAGCAATTGCATCTTGAATGTCCCTAGACATCCCAGGCCAAAACATGATAGCTCTGGCCCTGGTTTTGCACTTCTCAATGCCTATATGAGTGTCATGTAAGGCGGAAATAATCTCCTGTCGCATAGACTCTGGGATTACTACTTTGTCTCCTACAAAAACAAGTCCATGTTCAGTATATACTTCATCTCTCACCTGCCAAAACTGTTGCGCTAGGGGAGGTACACTTGCCTTGTGAGACGGCCAACCTCTCTGACTCACTGCTCTTACTGTCTGGAGAGTCGGGTCACTTGCTGATGCTTGCTGGATCTTTTCAATTCTTTGGGTACTAATAGGTAGTACCTCAGTAATGCTGTGTACTCGTAGCTCTTGTGCATCCTCTATGTTGGAAGACGTAGCATCTCTGGTCTGATACGCTCGGCTTAAGGTATCCGCAATGTACATATGTTTTCCAGGGTGGTACTTCACATCGATGTTGTATTTTAACAAGCGTAACAACATTTGCTGGAGCCGTGGTGACGCCTTGTGCAGTGGCTTCCTGGTAATCATCTCCAGCGGGCGGTGGTCGGACTGTACTGTCACTGGTCTGCCATACACGTACTGGTTGAACTTTTCAGTTGCGAAACAGATTGCGAGCAGCTCCTTTTCAATTTGGGAGTAATTTTGTTCTGATGTTGTCAGAGAACGAGATGCGTATGCAATGGGATGACTATCCTGCAGCAAACAGGCTCCAAGACCGGTTGATGATGCGTCACACTGTATCACGGTGTCTTTGGTTATGTCAAAAAATTTGAGCACTGGCTTGCTGCTGATAAGTGTTTTCAACATCTTGAGAGCTGCTGCATGCTGCGGTTCCCAAGTCCATGCTGTGTCTTTTTTGAGTAGACTACGTAGTGGCGTTGTTGTTGTGGACAGATTGGGTATGAACTGTGACAAGTAATTGATCATGCCCATGATCCTTAGAAGATCCTCTTTTGAAGTTGGGTCAGGCATGTCAGTTATGGCTGTCACTTTTGACTCGTCGGGCTTCAGACCTTCCTTGCTGATCACATGGCCCATGTACACGAGTTCAGACCTCTTGAATTTGATCTTTTCTTTGTTGAACTTACAGCCCATGGATTTAGCTCGCTGCATCACATCATGTAATGTCTTGTCATGTTGTTTCTCATCTAGTGAGGCGACAATCAAATCATCTGCTATAATATGCACGTCTGGGATGTCCCCAAAAACCATCTGGTTTCTTCGCTGTAGGACTTCGCTGACGCTTGATATTCCGAATGGCATTCGCTGGAAGGAGTATCGCCCAAAGGGAGTATTGAATGTACACAGGTCTGCACTGGCTTCAGTGAGTGGAACTTGCCAGTATGAGCTTGTCTGATCAAGCACCGTGAACATTATTTTCCCTGACATCTGGCTGATCACATCAGAGCTGGTTGGAATCATGAAGTGTTCCCTTCTAATGGCGCGATTCAGATCTTTAGGGTCCAGGCATAAACGAAGTGAGCCATCTTTCTTTTCCACTACCACAAGACTGTTGACCCAGTCTGTGGGTTTTGATGTTTTACGGATAACGCCGGCAGCCTCCATATCATCAAGCTTTTCTTTAAGACGTTTATGAAGACTCAAAGGCACTCTGCGCGGCGGGTGAATTACGGGTGACACATTGGGCTTCAGCTTAATGTCATATGGTTCTGTGAATTTTCCAAGACCAGTAAACACATCAGGGTTCAATCAAATCTTCTTGAGTTAGTGATTTTTCAATGTTGTCTACTCTTTGAATGAGTCGAAGACCAGAGCATGCTTGACGACCTAAGATGGTTGGTCCATTTTCAGTAGTGAGGAAAAAGTCATAGCTTGCTTGAGCACCCTTGCGCGTCGAGCATTTTAAATGAACTTTTCCTATGTGCTCTATGTTTTGCTTTCCATATCCAGACAGTCTAGCTGAAGACTTGTAAACAGGGATGCTGCTGTATCCTGTTAGCTGTCTGAACTGTGACAGTGGCATACAGTTTGTATCTGCTCCTGTATCTAGCTTCATTTTAATCTTGTCTTCATTAACAATTACCTCCTCATACCAGCAGGGGTCACTGAGATCATGTGTCATTGAGTCTATAAAGAAATGTTCAAAATCAGACTCCACTGTGTGTACAGTTGATACTCCACGACCACGACCTCTGCTACGATAGCTAGGCATTCTGGCTTGACATAGATCTGCAAAGTGGTTTAATTTCTTACAGCGACGACACTCCTTACCAAACGCGGGGCAGTTGCGAGGTTGATGCGTTGTACCACATCTGCTGCATGCATTGGACAGCTGCGTTGCTTTAGCGGTAGCGCCACTCTGCGGGTGGTTACTAGCTTGTGCTGACTGCACGCGCGGTTTCCCTCGTCCTCGAAAACGTCCACGGTCTCTGCCTCGCGTGTAGATGTTTAGAGTGTGAACTGACTTTTCCAGGGTTTGCGGCGACTTGCCTTGTATCATATCAAGCTCCCGCTTAGCGCTCTCAAACGTGCGCATTCGCTGTGTCACTACTTCAAGGGACGCATTGCCGTCATCGCCCATTACTTTCATTTTCATTGCCGGATCTTTTATGGAAAAGAATAATTTGTCTCGTAGCGTGGTCTCTAAATCAGCAAACTGACAGTTACTTGCCATCGTCCTGAGGTCATTCACGAATGCTTCTAAACCCTGGCCTTCAGGTCTCTGATATGCCCAAAACTGTGCTCGCAGAGCCATTACTGGATTCCTCGTGTTGGAATACTGCTCGAATTTTCTGAGCACCGTATCAAAGTCATTACGATTTTCCGCGTCTCTATCACCTTCAGCCGGTGCCCACCTAAAGTTACTATATATATCATATCCTCTCTCTCCCAGAATCGTGAGCAAAATAGCAACCTTTTTCGCTGAAGATGCGTCACTGTTTCCCGATGCTGTGAGGAACAGGGCGAAACGTTGCTGCCACTTCTTCCACGCGGCGCTCACATTAGGACAGTCGAAATCAAACGGCTCGGGTGGCTTATAGTGTAGAACCTCCATTGGATAACAGTCGGCCGTCGTACAATGTTCTACTCCTTGTGTATTAAATTAACGATAGCCTTACTTCTGTTCTGACACCATGTCATATACACAACTGCCATTTTACTGGGGGTGGACTCACACACTTTATTTCCGGTTCAGCACCACAGGTCAAGTATACATGACAACGGTATTGTTTAGATCAACACGTGACAATGCTTTCTTACATTTTGTTGACGTTTGAGCATGAAAGAGGTCTGCAAACTTACAATGCACAAAATTCCTCTCTAAAGGGAGTTATTCCCGATATCAGTTAGCACTGTTTTGTGAGGTTCCTTTGTGCACAAATGATGTCTGCAAAGTCATTGCCTGATAGGGCAGCAAGGTAACAAGTCAGCTGCCTAAAGCTTCGAGACAGTGTGTTGAAACTTGCGGTTATGACAACGGTTGACATTTCAGAAACACGCTCGTATCAAAGCACACTGCGTTTTTCGAAAAGGAGGGGCTTCATATAGACCAGAACTAAACAAGAGTGTTAAAGACAGACTAGGAAGAGAGGTGCTGCAATCATGTAATACATGTGAAAAATAATGTGTTTTGAAAAATCAAGCATGAAAACTGATTCTAGTAGACCCAAAAAACTAAATCAAGACTTTAAAAAAGGCATAAAAGGACCCCTTTAAGATATTATAAACATTAACATCATGATTTTCTGTAAAGCTGCTTTGATTGAAACAATGTGTATTGTGAAAATACCTTTTTATTTTTTTAAATAAAACTGACTTCAAAATTGACTTGATTCCAGATGAAAATGAGGAAGAGGAGCAATGTAATGCCCCAGAAACAAAGGAAGGTAAATATAAATGGATGAGTATGAGTCTGGCTTTTCTCTGTATAATACTGATCATTTATAGTTTGGATAAAAAATGCCTCAAAAGTCCAAACCCTCAAGCATTTCATGTGTTTGGAATATTAAACAGCATTTGTATGCTTTAAATTCAATCTAAGTGGAGACTTTACAAAGCAGATTAATACTTCAAAAAGATGTCCACATTAATTTCCTCATCCATCAGCTGATGTAAAACAGTCTAATGTCTGATGATGGTATACTCTCTTGTCACTACTAGTTCCTATCCAGTGTAGCCTGAAACGGTGTTTGAATCTTTTTTTTTTTTTACACTCTTTGAATCTTGCATAATGTCTCATCCGGTCACAGTGATGATGACACAAGCTAATGATCGGTAGATCTTTGATGCCAGTATGTTGCTTGGGGCAAAATAAATTGCACTACAGATGGACTCCTGGCAAGACTAATGTTGTCATGCATAGAATTCTACAAGACACATTTTTAATAAATATTGTTATTTTTACAGAGTTTAAAAAATCAGATCAGCTCCAACATCTAGCAGCACAAGGCAACTGTGAACCATCAAGTAAGTGATGTTTCCAGCCTCTCATTCTTCATTATCCATCAAGAAACAGATCAGAAGCAGAATTATTAATTTGATATATCTGTAATTTTACACCTTCTCCATTCTCTCTTTTTCCGTCTCCAGCTTACCTGCATCATCGAAACAACTTTTCTTGTTCCGGTCATTAAGAAAATGGGGATGCTTTAACCCTTTAAATCAGTGGTTCTCAATCCTGGTCCTAGGGAGCCACTGCTCTGCACAGTTTGTATGTCTCCCTCATTTAACACACCTGATTCAGATCATCAGCTCGTTAGGAAAGAGCTTTATTAACTGAAGTGGGTGTGTCAGATGAAGGAGACATATAAAATGTGCAGAGCAGTGGCTCCCTAGGACCAAGATTGAGAACCACTGCTTTAAATCAACGAGAAACAGCAGAGGCACCTTTTTAAAATTGAAAGTTTATTTATTTAAACTAATGAACAACATGTGACGTACTGTGAACAGTGAGAACTGGACTTTCACACATGCTAAAAAAAACATTACTGTACTGATAATTTCAGTCTTTAGTTTCATATAATTTATATTACAGATTATGTTCTTGGTCAATTTTATTCAAAATAAAAACTGGTAATTGTGTAACTGTTCATTATTTTAAGCGAATGTCGGTTGGACCTCCAAATCTGCTCAGACAATGCAACACATGATTAATAATCTTCATTTTTAGTAAAGTCACTTAAAGAACAAACATATATATAAAGTGGACAAGCAGCTTCCTAAATAAGTTAGGAGTTTCAATCTTATTTTATTAATTATGTCTTTGTAAGAGTCTATATATAGACTAGAATTGCACTTTTTTTGGTTTAAGCTCTCATATTGAAGCAACATACCTAAACACAATACACAGATACACACACACACAGAATGAGGGCACTATTCTTTGGATGCTGGTTCAGGGACTGGCTTGACTGTGGTTCTGCTGGTCTGAATGTGTGAGACCTGAAGAACAGGCAACAGCAGCTGGAATGCATTATGGATGTAAGTAGTGCTATTACAACCCTGGGGAAACAAGACACAGTGCAGTGATGAAGGGTCGTCATTATCATAACTATAGTCATTCTAATCATCATCATCAAAACCCCTATAGCCGTCTCCTCATTTGTTAGCTGTGCATTATGAAAATGATCATATTCAGTTTTACCTCCAGCATCACACTGTCCACTAGAGGATTTAGTTCTTCTGCCTTTCTCTGATTCTATAGGGACAAAAATAAAGAGACAAAAAACAGCAGGATGTTCATTTTAAACTTCAGGAGAAATAAATAGTTGTATTTAACAATAACAACACTGACATGCGCAACATATGCAACCTGTTTTACTTCCATAATGTGACGCATTTCAAAGTGATATAGTGGCCCACAGTGCAACACCACAAAATCACAGGGCAACACTGGGAAATCAAGACTATACAAATTCTTACTAGCATGAAATAACAAAAGATTCTCAATGTGAGTAAAACGAACGTGTTATAAATGTAAGTTTATGTGCTGGAAACACATGCAGATACTACTGTCCAATTTTGAGGAGCAACTGCTTCTACTGTGTTGTGACTTAATTCCGTTGCTTTGCTACAAAATTTAGTTTGCTCTGTAAATTTAGCTGTGCTGTGCCACAGTAGAAACAGCTTTTTCAACAAGAAAAAAAGTAAGCTGGGACATGTTTTATCTGACAGGAACTGATTGGATCATGAAATATCTGTATGACAAAGTGATTGGAAGGGAAGGGCTGAAAAATAAGAGGGCATCAACTGAAGGAAACCGAACCAAAGTCAAAATGAAAAGGGAAGTAATTTCAGAGGTGGAGGTATTAGTCATATTTGAAAGTTTTTAGCAATAACATCCACTGATAAATAGTTCAAAATAAGACCAGGAACATGCGTTAGGGTCAGTCAGACTCACCCCTACAGCCAGTAATGTGTCCGAGAACTTTCGGGCCAGGCATCCGACCTCCTTACACATGGCACTGGTTAACCTGGGCATACACAACAGTCACTATACAGCTAATAAAAGGACTTGCCCAAAACTGTCTGTTGGAAACGGCTGAGGAACTCACCTGACCAGTATACTGGCCTGTTGGCAGGCTGGCTTCTCCAGCTCTTGTCCGTGTAAAATCAGCTCGGCCACTTTATGTAGCTGTTCTATACTACGAGCAGTCACCTCAGCAAGACTGCCCACTGATGACAGATACACCTTCTACATTCACAAACGTACACATTAAAATAAAGGTTTATACATGTTTTTTTGTTTTTTTTTATAAAGAAAGCAATACTTTTATATACGGCAAGGAAGCAATAAATTGATCAAAAGTGACAGTAAAGATACTTATAATGCTACAAAATGTTTATATTTTAAATAAATGCTATTCAAAATTCTATTCATCAAGAAATCCTGAAAAGAAAAATGACAAGAAAAATAAACAACAACAAAAAAACAAGGTCTAGAGATGCATTTTTTAAAAGTTGAACTTCTTTAAACTTGAGCGTCGTGATAAAATGTACATGTGGCGTGAGAGTTGGCAGCCCTGCTTATTCTAATCACACATACTATTTAGGATGGATAGTATGCACATTGTGATGCAGTATAGGTCTTAAACCTCGCCCTCTCCATGTAATCGAATGGAGCATGTTCAACTAAAACATATAATTACACTTCAAATAATTTTTTTCCAAAGATGGTTTCTGTCATTTAAGGTAGTCACGCAGATATATGTTCAAGTGTTTGTTTCTCCAATAAGTCTGGTTTTAGTTAGTTATTTGATGCTTTAAAATGTGGTGTAACATCGTGATTGACAGCTGTGCTTGTGATCGAGTCTGTGGGAGTGGGAGTATGGAAGGGAACTTGATGGATCAGGATCACTTCTGCACAGACTTGGGTCCCGAATTATCGACAACAACCATTTCTGGAATATTTTGGCTTAATTTTTCTGTAGTGCAAGGAAGTGGAAACATGTCATCCATCTTTTTTTACAGTCTAAAACAATGGAAAAATAGTGCAGAACACATTCTGTGTGTACAGAGAATAAGAGACTTGTATATATCCATACAGTACATATAGTTCAGACTCAACAACACACTCAAAACATTTCTCACCTCAACATCATCCGAGTTTCCATCTTTTGTATTATTTTTATCGTTATTTCCCTCTTCTCCCTTTTCTTTCTTTTCTTCTTCTTTTTGTTCCCCCTTTTCTGGATCGGGGCAAGGGGTGGAGCACTCTTCCTTTAATTCCTCTGTTACATTCTTGACAACTTCCCGGGATTGCTCCACTTCTCGCACCCAATCATGAGCTTTTATTCGGGCCTGCAGGGCACACGGTTAGATTAGTGTTTGTGAATAACGTGTGTGTGTGTATGTGTGTGTGTGTGTGTGGCTGTACTTTGCTCAGTTTGTCTGGAGTTGCAGCAACATGGAGCTCAAAGAGTAGCTCAGTAAGAACACTGACAAACTCCTCTCCATCAGCAGCTGAAACACACAGATCACATAAATATAATACCCATGGGCAAAAATGAGGAGGACTGAAATATTTATAGTGCTCTGACTGAGTCACCTGTCATATCAAATCAATGTTTGTTCATTGAGATTAGCTAATACTGGGTTTTCCAATATTTGTGGTATGGTGATTTCAACCAGAATTATACATTATAACAATTTCACAGCCTTAATAATTATGCAGATTATATAACTAATCATTTTAACTCTAAATCTGTGATTGGATTTAAAATTTAAAAGTGTGAACTTGACCATTTAACCTGATTAATATCCATTAATGCAGAAATTGTAATAAAGATTTATCCCTTACAGGATCTTGATTGTGGTCTTGGATTTGTTCACACCAGATTGTGATCTGGATTTGTCTAATTATGTTTTGGCAATTAAAGACTCACAGAGAGGAGTGGAACACTGAATTTGGGAATTAAGATCACCATTTTCCCCAGAGGCGGCATCAGCTTCCTCCTCCTCACGAGCGATGAAGATCTCTTTAATCGCAATCAGCTCCTTCTTCAGAACCTCTAAATCTTCCTCTTCCAAAGAGGACAAGAACTCCTGCACCTGAAATAGAGAGAAACGAAAAGAGGGAAAGATAAGGACCTTTTTTTGTATAATTTCAGCTTGTATTTTGATAGCAACAGGTACTATGGGTGAATGTACAGTATGTAGTGAGTGTTACTAACCCTTCCTTCACTCTCATTGGAAAGAATCTCCAGTGCCTCGAGATGAGACAAGCCTTGGTAATCATCAAACAAGATCCCATAGTGGGCAGTTGGTTCTGAAACCATCTGACTGCTCAGTCTCTCTCTCTCCTTTTCCTTTGCTTCTTTTAACATCTGCAGACAGACACAACATAAGCACATACATCAGGCAAGTATCAGACAAACATACTGAAAATATGGCAGGATTTTCCCACAAAACCACTGTTAAAGTCAATTATGCAAGAATCTTCTATGGTACGACGGTTGTAGGACTATATTCACAATTTAGCATAGCCTCTGTACTGTACCTTATTGTAAAGTAACATTGGGCTAGGGTTTTAGATCATGTAAGAAAGATTTGAGCATTTGTTGACCATCTTACCTGAGACAGAGAGACAGTTCTCTGCATCAGTATTTTAGTCTTTTTAAAGCCTGGATCACTCTCTGCCAAGACAATCATGGTCTTCTTTCCAATGAACTCCAAAGCATCAAGACCTCCTGTTATTACTGACTTTCCCTGCGAGAGGGAGAAAAAATGGTGCATGAAAATGTATCCAAGAAGGAAGGACAAGAAAGATTAATTAATCTTGGCTGATTCAATCACAAGTTGTCAGGCGAAATTCGTGCTATCTTAAATGCACCATCAAGTGTAGGTTCTGTGATCATGGTAAGTCATGTTAAAACTAATGAAGGGTGTTATATCCTTGTGCTGACTCACAGTGTTCTGAACAGCGCTGCTAATGGTTGACAGTACTCCTCTGTGCACCTCCTCTGAATGAACGTGTTCTGCCATCTCTGTCCCAGAATCCTCATGGGCCTCTTCTGCCTCATCACACGATGAGCTCTGACGCATTCGGAACGCCACACCTGCTTTCTCTTTTACAGAGCTTAACCCTTGACCTAAGGACAATCAAAACATTGAAGGATATTATTAAACTTTAGGGCTGAATTAACTCTGCAAGGCTTGATGCACAGA